AGCGTGACACACTCATTACAAACCTAAGACTTCCCTAATGTGTCTTACATACGAGAGTTGCATAGGGGCGATTTAATGTTGGCAATCTACTGCAATTCAGACCGTGATTTTTTACTTGCAAAATTATAACGAGATTCGTAATAAAGTTAATCTGCGTGAATCGTTTTTTATTATTAATGGTTTAGAAAAGTGTGCATTTGGTGTCGCGGAATTAAATAAGAGAAATAGTGTGTTTGAAATAAGTTCCAATAAATTGCATACTCATCTGTAAAATAGTTAACATCGTGGCGCTATCTATCGGTGAAGTAATTAATAAACGCGCATATATAAAAGGGTATATCGTGTAGCTGGATAGTTACGTACATAAATAAGTAGATATAGTATTCAGTTCAGAAAGTGTTTATTTTCGCTAAACACATTATAATGTGTATAGCAGCTAACGTATAATGCCTATACCCGCACATGTATATTGTGCGGCTATGATCGCGTGTGTATATTGTCACGCGTATATATTGTGCGGTATTGTCACGCGTATAATATATTGTGCGGGTATATTGTCACGCGTATATATTGTGTGGGTATTGTCACGCGTATATATTGTGTGGTATTGTAACGCGTATATATTGTGTGGGTATATTGTCACGCGTATATATTGTGCGGGTATTGTCACGCGTATATATTGTGCGGGTATGATCGCGCGTATATATTGCGTGGGTATATTGTCAAACACGTATATATAGTGCGGTATGATCGCGCGGTATATATTGGGCGCGGGTATATTGTCAACCGTATAATTAGTGCGCGGGTATGATCGCGCGTACTATATTGCGGGCGGTATTATTGACACGCGTATATATAGTGCGGGTATGATCGCGCGTATATATTGCGCGGGTATATTGTCACGCGTATATATAGTGCGGGTATGATCGCGCGTATATATTGCGCGGGTATATTGTCACGCGTATATATTGTGTGGGTATATTGTCACGCGTATATATTATGTGGGTATATTGTCACGCGTATATATGTGTGGGTATATTGTCACGCGTAATATATTGTGTGGGTATATTGTCACGCGTATATATTGTGTGGGTATATTGTCACGCGTATATATTGTGTGGGTATATTGTCACGCGTATATATATTGTATGGGTATATTGTCACGCGTAATATATTGTGTGGTATATTGTCACGCGTATATATATTGTATGGGTATATTGTCACGCGTATATATTGTGTGGGTATATTGTCACGCGTATATATATTGTATGGGATATTGTCACGCGTATATATTGTGTGGGTATATTGTCACGCGTATACTACATTGTATCAAGAGCGATAATACCTAGAGTGTACAACGGAAAAACGGAAAATAGGGCTATTTCACGACTCATTATTTCACTTTGCCTGCGAGTCTAGAATAATTTCATGTATTGCATTAAGCAGAATTCTTTCTCTAAAACAAGACCAACCGCTTGTCAATACGATACTCCTAGGCGGAGATATCGGCTCCTAAACCTCCCTCCCACATGCCAAACGCCACCTCGATCCACTTCTGCCACATCCTACACGCGGGTAAGCATTTTGGCTATCGTTTCCGTCAAATTAACATTCTCACATAGTTTTAATTCTAAGACAATGTACAAAACGATACCGGTGCTATTTTGCAAGTATATAAAATTTATTAAGAGTACCACACTGTAATTTCTTATTTTCAGAAAAATTTACACTTGTTACTATTATTTTAACAGGTCCCTTCACCAGACCTCATCCCGTGCTATGGCGGATGGTTTTTGGTAATTACAGCAGAGGGCATGCAAATTTTGTCTATCAGCTGTAGAGTGTAGCCAAACTATATAGTTCCTAATGAAGTTAATAAAACCAATTAAGTTGATGGGAGTTACCAAGAGCAGATAAAGAAGGAGAGCGTACAAGGGTAAAATGCTGAAACCATGCTGCAGTATTAGTCGAATTAATAAACTTTTCCCGTTTTATTTTGACGATCCTTTGCAGTATTATTGATTAGCTGTCTTACCTTGTTCATGAATATGAAACAAACCGCATGTCCCTACC